GGGCTCCCTGCTCGGCAGGGAGTCTGCTTCTCCCTCTGACCCTCCCCCCTCTCATGTGCTCTCTCTCTCAAATAAATAAAGTATTCATCTCATGCACCCTAAGAACATGGCTCCAATAGGTATAAAATCTGCCTTTGAACACAACCACTGCCTAGGGGCTGGGAGACTAGGTGCTCAGCCATGCTGTGCCTCAGCCTTCACATCAGCAAAATGGGAGTAGCACTAACTCTGGTTCTCACACAGCTTCCTCCCTCCAGTCTCTGCCGTGGTCATCACACGGCTGTCTTCTTCTGTGCGTCTGTGTGTTTTGCCATGGTGTTCTCCTCTCAGTTCTAACATTCTCTTCTGTGTGTATCCAAATTTCCATCTTCTTATAAGGACACCAGTCATTAGATTAGGGCCCATTTTATTCCAGCATGACCTCATCTTAACTTGCTTACATCTGCAAAGATCCTATTTCCAAATCAGGTCACATTCACAGATACCAGGGGTTAGGGCACCAGTACATCTTTGGGAATGACACAATTCAACCCACAATAGTCCTTCAAGAATAAATATCCAGAGAGCTCGGCTCTGTCCCCCTCCGTTCCTTCACCCTCTCCCTACCCCATTCGCCTATTCCTCATTCTCTGGCTTTAACAGTCCTTAAAAAGTGGTCCCAGCCTGCCGGGCATCTCAGAGGCGCATGGGGCCTCCTCCAGGACTGGTGGCTCATGGACACGTTTTTTAACAGAAAGAAATCCACTTGCTTTGGCAGAGACTTTTTTTGGTTGATTTGTTTGTGTGTTTATTTCTTATGTATTAAAGGAGGAGGCTCCCATGATAAAAACAACAACAACAACAACAAAAATTCGACACACAGACACAGAAATCAGGGGAGGGGGGTTAGTTGTGAGCCGATGCTGCAGGCTGGCCTAGGACGCCTGTGGTAGCACATCAGGCCTGGGGATTGGAGAGGAACTGATGGTTCTTTTTTTTTTTTCTTTAAGATTTTATTTATTTATTTGACAGAGAGAGACACAGCGAGAGAGGGAACACAAGCAGGGGGAGTGGGAGAGGGAAAAGCAGGCCTCCCGTGGAGCAGGGAGCCCGATGCGGGGCTCGATCCCAGGACCCTGGAACCTGAGCCGAAGGCAGACACCTAACGACTGAGCCACCCAGGCGCCCCAGAACTGATGGTTCTAAGAGATGCTTGGATCTGGGGGAAATCCTTTGGAGATAAATTAAGGGAAGAGGTATGAGCAGTGAATATTCCTGCACTCTTCTGCCTACTGGCATCTACTGTGGCCAACACTATAGGGTGTCACGGGAAGGAAAAGGCTAGAGTTGTTTTATCGATTACTCAGCAATTTCTTTATAATGCCTTCTGGGTATGGTGACCAAATAGGTTATTATTTTGAGAGTGAGAAGTGTGCTGTCAATAATTACACCCAGACAACAGCATAAAGTGGAACTGTGCCAAGCAAATTGGAGCATATGATTATCCGAACCAGGGGAAGAGACATTTTTCTTAGACCTTAGCACCATTGAAACTAGTTTAGTTGCATTTTATGGATGTGGCGACTCTGTATTTCCTTCTTTGCTTTGGCTTCTGGGAAGTTCAGAATCATATTTGTGGCCAACTTTTTGAAATTGTGCTGGAATTACCAAGTGTATTTGTACACTTTCACCAGCTTTCTCTTATTCTTCGATCCTCATTTCTTTTTCTTCTTCCTAACATCTTACTTTTTTTAATCTTATTGTATGTATTTTGTAAGATGTTTAGATGGATCATGTTTGAAGAAGTTGATGGGTGGATGAATACGTATGTAAATGGGGAGATGGGTGAATGGGTGGATAGATGGATGATGAGTGGGTAGGGGTGTGTGTGTGTGTGTGTGTGTGTGTGTGTGTGTGTGTGTGTGTGTGTAGATGGGTGGGTGTTTGAATCAATGAACAGACGGATGGGTGGTTAGACATTTGGATGGATGGATGAGTGAATGGATGTCAGATGGATGGATGTTTAGATGTTTAGATGAATGAAAAGATGAGTGCCTGGCTGAATATTTAGATGGGTGGATGCATATTTAAATACATGGGTAGATATTTGGCTGGATAAATGGACAGATGAATAATAGGTGATTGGATAAATGGAAGGATGGTCAACTGACTGGATATTTAGATGAATAGAGTTTAGCATGAACAGACATATGGAAGGAGAAATTGATAAATGGGTGTTTGGATGATTAGATAATACCTCCTCAGCACACAGTGTAGATGGCCAAGGGTGTAATAATGTGTGTAAAGTAATTTGCCAATGCCTGGCAGGTCATGGGTATTCTAACTTATTAGAAAGGACACACGTGTTTGAGACTTAAAGACCTCTCTGTTCTGATCCTTGCCCTGCCGTTTACTATATGACCTTGAGCAATTACCTATCCTCTCTGCACTTTAGTTTGTTCACCCATAAAATGAAGTTAAAATACCCACTCCAGAGGGTTGCTGTGAAACTTAAGTCAGCTGGTGTGTGTTTTAGTAAATATCTGCGTAATTCCTTCTGAGGTACAACTCGAGAGAGAGAGAGAGAATTCTTTTACCCAAGCTCGGAGTAAAAGTGCTTCCCCTCAGTATCACAGATCCAACCTAAGTCATGTGCCCACCCTGGGACCAGGAGCTGCTACTAGATATACTGTTTGTGTTAGATGACCAGGCTCCACCCCAGAGTTGGGACCAGGCCATCTTCTCCTGAGCCACGTGTTTACATGAAGAAAAGGAGGGAGGGAATGGTCTGGGGCTGCTGGTTCAGATTGGATGAGAGATGATGCCCATGCTGAGCAGGTGGCAGAATAGGTGACCAATGAGCAGACTGTAACCATGTTAAGGGTGTAGAAAAACCATGCTTTGGTAGCTGATTCGATGTCTGTGGAGAGACAGAAGGATAACAATATTCACAGGGACAAAGAACCCAAGGCAAGTGCAGGTTGATGAATTAAAGTCAGGCCATGTTGCCTTTGGAGTGTCTGGGAGATTCGGGGGGAAAAGTAGTCAGATTGGTTTATCTGGGGCTTTGGCAAAAGGTCAGGGCTACAGAGAATGAGAAGTAATCAATATCTCGGTCTTCATAAACCTGTGTGCCCTTTCAAACGTAAAATCTTTTATCCTCTTTCAGTGTTATTTAAAATGTTTAAGTGTATTAAATATAATGATTAAAAACAATTCAAATGACCTGCAGAACTGAGCCGGCTTCCCAGCTGATGCTGATGGCCACTGCAGGCAGGTTAGGTAGAAGCTTCTGTCTCTTGCACCTTTGCAGTCAAATGCTCTACCACTGAGCTATACCCCCTCTCTTGCACCTTTGGAGAGTCAGGCTACTTTGTTTTTCCCTCATCATGGCTGGATGGGTGGGCACAAGAAGTGGACTGCACAGCCCAGGCTGTTTTTCTGGCATTTCTGTGCTGCTGTTTTCACTGAAGTTATCCCCTCTACTGGCTGCGTCCCTGGCAGGCAGATGTCTAGACAGTGCTTGGTCACCTCCAGAGCTGGGGAGCTCACTACCTCCCGAGAGAGCCTGTTTTTCAGTGGACATTCCTACCTGCGAACTCTAATTGGCCCCCATGGGTTTCCTCCACTGTGTGTAGCTCTGCCCTCAGGACCAGCATGGAAGGAGCATGGAGCTGGGTGTCTCTCTGCCAGCTCCCCAGGCCTTTAAGGGAGCAGCCAGGCTTGCCTTCAGTCCCCCTCTCTTCTTCGGGCCAGCGCTCATAGCTGGAACCGGGCTTCAAACCTCCCTCTTTGACCCCAGAGGGGAGGGACTGATTTTTCCTGTGAGGCACTTCCGGCTGTGCTTAGTTCAGACACTTCCGGTTCCACTGAGAACGGTACTTCCGGTTCCCCCAGGCGGGCACTTCCCCTCCCTCTTCCTGGCCTCCCTGGCTTGTCTGTGGAGGTCAGGGTGGGTGTGGACTGAGACAGCGAGCCCCGGGAGTGGTTGGGCCGGGGTTACCGAGTCCCGAGGCAATGCTGGGGGTTCTCCCTGGGCCCCGGCACCCCCTGCTCACTGCTCCCAGTGATGTGGCGGCCTGGGCCCCCTGGAGCTCCCAAGCTAGGCTGCCTGGTTCAAATCCTCCTCATACCACTTCCGAGGTGTGTGACCTTGGGCAGGGGTCTGGCCTCCCTGTGCCCCGCTTTCTTCAGTGCCCTTGTAAGGTTGGAGTAAGGATGACAGTGCCCACCTCCCTGAGTTCCTGTGGGGTGTGAGGACAGAATGACATACGGAGTTGCCTCCGGACTTGGGTATAGAAGCCGCTCCTTGGATGTTAACTAGGCGCGTTCCTATTACTCTCTGAGGTCTCTCAAATCTTTGGAGCTCAAGAACTGATAGCCCTTTGACCCCTGATGGGAAATGTTGAAAAAAGATTTAAAACAGCAGAAAAGGTGACCTTTACAAAGGCTACTGGCCATTGTTTATGAGACAGAAGCCTTTGTTATAACAAGTCATCTGGAGCCCTAGAAATTCAGGCTTCAGGCGCTGCTGCGGAAGGAAACTAGGCGGAGTATATGGACTTAGACTTATCTCTCCTTCCAGAGGTTTTGTTTTTCGGTGGTATGCAAGGTTCATTTTGCACAGTACTCCCCACTTCACAAAGTCATGAGCTCTCCACCCCTGGGAGGCTTTCACAGAAGCTGAAGAGAGCCGGTTTCGGTGGGGGGGGTTAGACAGGGCCCCCACATGCTGCTATTGTCGAGAGGCTTTTGAGGGAGGCAGAACTGGGTGTGAATCCTGCCTGCTTCGCTGTGGTGAGAGCGTCCTGCGCTGCCCCATAAGAAGGTGGCCGGCCTTATTGCAGCGCCAGGCTCTTCATCTTTGACATCTTTGGGGCCCCAGCCCCCAGCAAGGACTTCCCTGAACACCTATTGAGTTATCCCCGAAACAGTCATGCCCTAGGGTGGCTTCAGTGGTAGCAGGGAGAGAGGACCCCCAGGCCCTTCCTCTGATCCCTCTCCCGGCCCTCATTTTGCAGACATCGACGAGTGTGAGAATGACTACTACAACGGGGGCTGCGTGCACGAGTGCATCAACATCCCAGGGAACTACAGGTGCACCTGCTTTGACGGCTTCATGCTGGCCCACGACGGACACAACTGCCTGGGTGAGTGATGCGGCCGCGCCCTGCCCGCTGGGCCTCAGCTGCAGCCTGCGGTGCTGGGGGCGGTGGGAAGGCTCATCTTCCTTCAGTTTCTTGTATTATTTTGCTGGGGCCTCCAGAACAAAATGGCCCAGACTGGCCGGCTTAAACAACGGGAATTTATTTTCTTACAGTTCTGGAGGCTAGAAGGCCGAGGGCAAGATGTTGGTAGGTGTGAGGCCTCTTTCTGAGGCTCTCTCCTTGGCTCACAGCTGGCCACCTTCTAGCTGTGTGCTCACACAGTCCTCTCTCTGGGCCTCCATGGAGCTGGTTTCTCGTGCCCTCTCTTTTTCTCTCTGCGCCTCTGTGGTGTGTGTGTGTGTGTGTGTGTGTCCCCGTCATAATCTCCTCTTCTTGTAAGGACACCAGTCTTATTGGAGTGAGCCCCCTCCCAACAACCCATTTTTAACCCAGTTACCACTTGAAAGGCCCTGTCTCCAGATAAGTCATGTTCTGAGGTCCTGGGGGTCAGGGCTTCAACACCTGGATTTGGGGAACACAGTGCAGCCCCTCACAAGGATTCTCATATGCCTCCAGATTCTCATGGTTCAAGTACATAGATTTAAGCCAGTTGTATGAAATTTAGAAGAGTAACGCAAGCTTGCTGGATCAAATTGGGAGCATGCAGGAGAAGAAGGAGAGAAATTGGAAAGCAACGTCATTGTGCTGGTGTGTCTCCTCGCAGCCCTCCCTGCCCCCAGGTGTGGTTTCCTGGGGTGGCAATCAGTGGTCCCCGTCACATGCCCCCCAGGTGTCCCCCACCCCCACCCCGCCCCGGTTATCACCATTTTGCCAGCCGTCTCATAGTGTGAGAAGTGATTCGTGAGCCAGAGTGACAAACTCAGTGTGACAGACTCAGTGGCCGAAACACCAGAAATTTGTTCTCTCCCAGGCTGGAGGCCAGACATCTGAAGTCAAGCTGTCAGCAGAGTCGGTTCCCTCAGAGGGCTTCCAGGGAGAATCTGACCCAGGCCTCTCGCCTGGCTTCTGATAGCTTCCGGCATTCTGTGCTTGTAGATCGTGGGCTCCCCGTGCCTTCATGTGGCCTGTGCTCTGTGCAGGTCTGTGTCTGTGTCCAAATTTCCCTCTTCTACAAGGGCACAGTCCCCTAGTCCTGTGACACCCGTGCAAAGACCCTATCTCCAAGAGAGGTTACAGGTCCACAGAGACTGGTCTTTAGGACTTCAGCATCTTTGGGGGGACATAATTCATAACAGAGGTGGTTTGCAGTCTGCAGCAGGAGGACCATCTCATGGCGAGAGCACAGGGTCTCAGAGCAGATGTTCCTGTCCCGCAGGCCCTCCTCTGCCACTGGCTGCTGAGTGACACAGGGCCCAGCAGCTAGAGCCAAGGAGGTAAGACCGTGGACTGGGCAGAAGCGTGGCTGTGGATCCGTTATCCATGTCTCAGGGGCTCAGTCCCTCATTGGTAAAGGGAGGGTACGAAGAGCAGCTTCGTCCCGGGCTCTCGTGAGCAGTGACCAAGACGGTGTCTTGCTGCTGAGAGGTGCGCCTGGCACAGCATTCCCCTCCTAGTGGCCGTCACTCCCGTCACAACCCCTGAGCCTTCTTCGCCCGCTGTCAAAGCCGGGTGATTATGCTGCCTACTTCACCAACTTGTGCACGAGGACAGAGTGACATGGTGAGCGAAGTGACTGGCATTTAGCCAGTGCCAGTCGTCACCAAACAGGGCATTACTGTTACTCTGGGTGACTCAGCCTCCCTTTTGTGGTGGGACATGTAGACTGTTTGTTTATTTTGTTTGTTATATTCCTACCGTCAGACTCCTGAGGTGTTGATTCTGGGCATAGATTTATTTTTTCTTAATTTCCTAATTGTTCCTTTAACCATTCTTCCTGGAAGTGGAATGACCGGGGCAGAAGGTCATTGAGATGTTTGTATGGCTTTCGGTGCGGGACTTCGTGAAAGGGCTCGGCAGACCTTGCCTGTCGGGGCCTGGAGTGGCAAGTGCGGCGTCCCGAGTATTCTGGAACTCTTCCCCCCAGCGGTGGATTGGCCTTAGATTTCCCTGCCTGTTTTTGTTTAGTACACGTTGGATCTCAGACAGACTCGTTATGGGAAACAGACCTGTGAACATGTAATTACACCCAAAATAAGTGCTGAAATGGAGGTCTGGACAGCAGGCTGCAGGACCCCAGAGGGGCCTGTGAAGAGCCGCCCCTGCACCGGCTGAGGGTGGGGCTGGAAGTGGGGTGACTCCCCAGGGGACTTCAGAGAGGAGGTAGCCTGGAGCAGATTCTGCAAAGGTTGGGGAGCAGCTGGCTGGGACGAGGGCACGGCCTGTGCAGAGAGCCACAGGGTTGGGGGGGGCTCCTGGGGGCTGGGCTCAGGGCGGATGCAGAGGTGGGCAGGGCATTTGGTTAGATTGTAAAGACTGGGGCTGTGCCGTAGGACCTTTATTGTGCCAGACACCAAGTGAAGTCTCGTCCGAGCGTTATCTCATTTAATCCTCCCAAAGCACAAGCCCTGAGTTTTACCAGTTGTTTGCCACTGTTTCAGATGACATCAGGAGTTCACTTCAGTAACTGATTAGTCTGGGAAGGCAGAGCTGATATCCCCATGAGGCAACAGGCAGTAGCACCCAGTGGCCCAGACAGGCCCTGGGAACCGCCCGTTCTGTGCTCCAGTCCTGGCTCTGCCACTTATCAGCTGTGTGACCTTTGGCCAGTCACTTCACCTCCGTGCCTAGTTTCCTCACCTGTAAAATGGAATTCATAGTCCCTATCTCATGAGGATTGAATGAGATAGTGGCTATAGAACATCCAGCAGAATGCCTGGCATCGAGCACTCACAATGTCATGGGCATCGATCTTGCTCACCGACTTTCAGAAAGAAATGCATTGGGGTGGGCCTGTGGAGGCCAGAGCCGGCCCTCAGCACTCCTGGGACTGTGTCTGACCCACGGGGCTCCCCTCTGCTAATAGCACCCTTACCTGTGTGGAACCACCTGCTCCTAAATACCCTTGTTCTGGATGTTGGCAGGTATACCCAGTGCCTCCTGACTAATGGCAGAGTCTGGCTGGGTTTATTTTTATTTTTACAACGGATTCTTTTTACGCTGATTAATTTGAAGAACTGGGTAAGACTCCCCCCACCCCCACCTCCAAGCACAGATTGTAACTTCATACGGCTCTAACTCACACATATGGCAACAGAGAAAAGGCTTTCTCTGTTGCTCCTCTGCTTTTAGCTGAGGGCAGAGCCTTCCCAACAGACTTGTTTTTGTTTGGGCTTTTTCCTTCTCAAGACAAAACTCTAGCTCTAGAGAAGTCAGCCCTTGGTTCCAACCATTTCCATCCCACACTGACCACATGACCTCCCGGAGCCTCACATCCCTCCTCCATAACATGCGGTGGGAGATAAAGTGCCTGATAGGGCATCTGTGTTGGCAGAAACACAGAATGCTGGAAGAGGAAGCCAGGCTTGGAATTTGAAGATTTAGGCTCAAGCTCTGGCACCACTGCTCATGAATCAGTGGTTTGGGACCGGTTCCTCAAACCCTCCAAGCAGGTTCCCCTAACTGCAACATGGGTCAGTAATCCCTGTCTTGGAGGGTCAACGTGATGGTTAAGTAAGAAAGCAGGTACGGGGATCTTCATGGACAGATGTCACATTTTGCTCCGGTGCTGGATACTGTCATAGTGTTGTGGAGGTTTCACTCAGGCAGCCTGCCGTCCTCATCCAGCCTGCAAACACGTTTGGCTTATTCTCCCAGTGTTTTTGTAATCATCACCATCGTCGTAATCCTCATTGAATGATTTGTCAACGTTTAAAAATCAAGGGAGGCTGGTGATGGGTATTAAAGAGGGCACATTCTGCATGGAGCACTGGGTGTTATGCACAAACAATGAATCATGGAACACTACATCAAAAACTGATGGTGTAATGTATGGTGATTAACATAACAATAAAAAATTTTTAAGAATAAAAATAAAAATCAAGGGAGGGTTCTAGAGGGGAGGGGGGTGGGGGGAGGGGTTAGCCTGGTGATGGGTATTAAGGAGGGCACGTTCTGGATGGAGCACCAGGTGTTATACGCAAACGATGAATCATGGAACACTACATCACAAACTCATGATGTAATGTATGGTGATTAACATCACATGATAAAAAAAATCAAGGGATGTCACAGAATAGATCACATACTAGGCCACAAAACAAGCCTCAACAAATTCTAAAAGTTCGAAGACATACATGCATCTTTTCTGACCACAGTGCTATTAAACTAGAAGTCAACCACAAGGAAAAAAATCTGAAAAGACCACAAATACATGGAGATTAAATAAAATGCTACTACACGGGGCGCCTGGGTGGCTCAGGCGTTAAGTGTCTGCCTTCGGCTCAGGTCATGATCCCAGGGTCCTGGGATCGAGCCCTGCATCAGGCTCCCTGCTCAGCGGGAAGCCTGCTTCTCCCTCTCCCACTCCCTCTGCTTGTGTTCCCTCTCTTGCTGTGTCTCTCTCTGTCAAATAAATAAAATCTTTTAAAAAATAAATAATTAATTAATTTTTTTAAAAAAAGGCTACTACACAATGAATGGGTCACCCCGGAAATAAAAGGAGAAATAAAAAAGTACATGGAAACAAATGAAAATGAAAACACAATGGTTCAAAGCCTCTGGGATATCAGCCAAAGCAGTTATAAGAGGGAAGTTTGTAGTACTACAGGCCTCCCTCAAGAAGCAAGAAAAATCTCATATAAGCAACCTAACCTTATACTTAAAGGAGCTAGGAAAAGACAACAAACAAAACCCAAAACCAGCAGAAGGAAGGAAATAATAAAGATTAGAGCAGAAATAAATGAAATAGAAACTAAAAAAAAAAAAACAGAAAACAATAGAATGGATCAATGAAACCAGGAGCTGGTTCTTTGAAAAGATAATAAAATTGATAAACTTCTAGCCAGACTTATCAAGAGAAAAAGAGAAAGGACCCAAATAAATGA